CCTGTTATTTAGCATTATTGCTGTTTTTATTTTATCAGGATATGTCGCTTAGTTTAAAAGTTATTACGTTTTCTTTACAATAAGTAATTTTAAGAGAAAAAATATACAGGGTGTTTCTTGTAAGGTGTCAAGCCGAAGGCAGGTGATAGGTGAGGACTAGACCTATCGATTTCACCCCCATGTATGTTCTACGATTTTTCGTAGTTTAGAAGTTATCGTTAATTTTGTGATTTTTTCAAATTTCAGGACCTAGTGGCTTAATTTTTTTTTTTATCTTTTTTTTTGGGTTGACTTTTCTCAGATTTCTTTTTTTTGACAGATTCTTCGCACAACTTCGCCCCGTATGGCAGTCACGGAAACTGACCCGAAGGGTCAAGATCAAAATTTTCGGGACCAACGTTAAATCCGTTCTGCTCTATGGGTGTGAAACGTGGAAGGTCACCAAGGTCATCTCGCACCAGCTGCAGATCTTCGTCAACCGCTGCCTTCGCCGAATTTTCGGCATATCCAGTATATGAGAAAATCTCAAACGTCGAGCTATTGGAACGCTGCCACGAAATTCCGATCGACCAGCAGATCAAGCGCCGCAAGTGGAACTGGATTGGCCACACTCTCCGAAGAGATCCCGATCACATCCCCAAGCAGGCTCTGGATTGGAACCCCCAAGGAAAACGCAAACGTGGTCGCCCCAAGCAAACTTGACGGCGCACTGTGGCAGACGAGGCGAAGAAGATCGGCAAGACTTGGAGTGAGATCAAACGCGAAGCTCAAGACCGAACGCGATGGAGGACTGTTGTTGACGCCCTCTGTCCCATCTAGGGGACATACATAGGACCCTAAGTCAAGTAGGTCAAGAGTGATAAAAGTTTAGATACGTTACTGTATCTACGATCTCGTTACAAGGCCCAAGAATTTAATCTATATTTAATAATATTTTTATTACCTCTTTATAACTCAACTAGCTTTCCGCCCGCGGCTTCGCCCGCGTGGAATTTTGTCTGTCACAGAAAAACTTTATCGCGCGCGTCTCTGTTTCAAAAACCGGGATAAAAACTATCCTATGTTCTTTTCCGGGACTCAAACTATCTCTATGCCAAATTTCATCAAAATCGGTTGCGAGGTTTAAGCGGGAAAGCGTAACAGACAGACAGACAGACAGACAGACAGAGTTACTTTCGCATTTATAATATTAGTTGGGATAGTTGGGATTTGATTTGGACTGAATTTTGTTTTATTTAGAAGATAAATTAATTTAGGTTAGGTACCTACTTACTATTCCTCCGCAAACTAACTTTATTATACTAAATTTGCTAACTTTAGCTTAATCCCGGAAATATCGAAAATACCGGATTATCGGTATTCGTCTAGAGCCAATACCGAAAATACCGGTTTTGCTGAAATGATTCGGTATTGCGACCCCTAGTCAAAGCCCTCTTTCCCACTGGGCACTTTAGGCACGTGCTCAGGGCCCCGCGACGGAGGGGGCCCCCGTCTGTCCGTCTCAAAATACCTTCTTCTAGATGACAAGGGCCCCCTTGATCCGTAAGTGCCCAGGGCCCCTAGTAGGTTAAAGACGGCCCTGTGTTTACATAACTTTTTGTCCTAAATTAAATTAGAGAAGTTATACATAAGCAAAAAGGATTTTTTTTGCTTATAACTACTTCAATCTTTAATTTAAGGCAAAAAGTTATATTAACATATTTGTAGGCAAAGCAATTTTCTACAAATTATGACTTTACAATTTTTGCACGCGCATGCCCCGCAACCCAGGCCGTGGGGGGCCCGCGCAGGCTGGGGCCCGGCTGGCAAATGCCACCCCGACTGTATGGCCAGTCCGACGCTGGGATTTGGTAAGTCGACTTTGTCGCAGTTAACTGGCACTGTGCTATAAGTCTTTATAGCACAGTACCAGTTATAAACAATCCTTTGTGATGACAACGATTGTAGGAGTTTCTGGTTCCCTTGTCTTCATTTAGGCAGAAGGGATCGCTAAATCATTAGCGGGGCTTAACCCGCTTACGCGTCAACCATTAAGACTATGGATCCTTATGGAATTAACATTACCTACTCCGCCATCTTAGTAAGTATCAAATCCCGCACGTTGAATGGACGGAAACCGTATTGAAAGGAAACCGAATTAGTGGCGATTATGCCGTAACACTGAGTTTACCATAATGGTTTTTACGGTGGCGGTCGCGATGTAGCGTTGGAACACCTTGAGCTTCTCCTTGACACAGTACTGAGGAACTCCTGTGCTGCTGCCCTTGTGTATAAGACTCTCTCTTTCTTACCTTCGAACCAGCCCGGGTCCTGAGCGCGCCTCTAGTGACGCGCCGACCGGTCGCGTTGTAGCGCCGCGCTGGAACACCTTGAACTTCTCCTTGACACAGTACTGAGGAACTCCTGCACTGCTGCCCTTGTGTATACAGTATACAGACTCTTTCTTATCTTCGAACCAGCCTGGGTCCTGTGCGCGCTCACTGAGCATAGTGCGCGCGTCACTAGCGGCCGCGATGTAGCGCTGGAACACCTTAAACTTCTCCTTGACGTCAGTACTGAGGAACTCCTGCGCTGCTGCCCTTGTGTATACAGACTGTCTCTTTCTTACCTTCGAACCAGCCCGGGTCTTGCGCGCGGTCACTGAGCATGGTGCGCGCGTCACTAGCGGCCGCGATATAGCGCTGGAACACCTTAAACTTCTCCTTGACATCAGTGCTCAGGAACTCCTGCGCTGCTGCCCTTGTGTATACAGACTCTCTCTCTCTTACCTTCGAACCAGCCCGGGTCCTGCGCGCGCTCACTGAGCATGGTGCGCGCGTCACTAGCAGCCGCGATGTAGCGCTGGAACACCTTGAACTTCTCCTTGACATCAGTGCTCAGGAACTCCTGCGCTGCTGCCCCTGTGTCGATGAACTCTTTCTTCGTTGACCGAATCATGTTGTAGTAGAAGTCGAAATCTGAAAGATTCTTTCTGTTAAAACTTTTTATGCTAAAAATTTTTTTTTATTACCTTTCAGGTTTAATAGCAAAAGGTCTTGAACATAGCTGAATAAAGACTATTGGAATGGAAAAGGAAAATGTGATTAACTTTGTGGTAATTAAATTAATTACAAGAGGGAAACATTTCAGATGTTAAAACGCAGCCTACTGTGTTACAGGTAATGCTTGCTTGTTTTAACATTAAAATTAAGAAAATAATTCTAAAATTAATGCAATAAACTTCAGTCTTATTTTATTAAAAAAAAAAGAACATGACCATCATTATGAGCAGCTTTAACATACCAGTGACCATAGTTTCTTTATTCTTCAGAAGAATGAAGAGAGTTTGCGACGGTAGAGTGGACAGGTATTCGTCATCCTCCACGCGCGTCCCGTCTTCCGCCACGAAGAGCCGGCAGCCCCCCGCCTCCTCGACATTGAACTGGAACAGAAAATGGGTCAAGGTACCGCGATATGTCAAGGCCTGCTGCCCTTGACACACATCCCTATCCAGGAACCAACAATCAAATTCATAAATGAAACTCACCCCCAATAAACAAGAAATACACAATTTAAACACTTATTTAACCGAAAGGGGAACACTTAATAAATAAATTAAAACTCACCCCTAACTTTTTCCGAGATTTCGCTATCAACTCCTCCAAATTTTCAGCGGCGACGCCGATTTTCTTTTCGCGTTTAACGTCTGCAACTTTATACCCTTTCTTCATGATGATTTTAAATGATTGCTTTAGAAAAAACAAAAGAAATAATTTTTACAATAAATACGACGCACATCTGCCGCCACTTCACATTTCACTTGCGGTCCGAATCTGTGAATGAGAAGGAAAATGGGAAATTGAAGGGAAATAGCTACTGACCGAACGAACTGACTGAAACTGAAAAGGAAAAACTTCGGCTGAAAAACACAAAGGAAGGAATGGGAAGGAAGGAAGAACGAATGATGAATGAACATATCGGCAAAATGTCAAAAGTCAACCACAGACTATCTTTTTTGTTCATTGGTTTATAAACGTAGGGAGGGACTGATCATACATACAAAATAAGCGTGCCTATAATTAAAGTTAGAACACAAAATGGCGGCTGTAACTTCACTCCGCGAAGAGACTTCGAAATTACAACTGTCACGTTTTTTTTGCCATTGCCATGAATAAAGGGGCCGCTGTTTCGCATTGTGTCCATATTAGTTCCAAAACAGTAACGGCAACGCGTTAGATAGCTGGCGAACGAGCTATTGCAAATTTTTTTTTTATGTCTCACCCTCCACCAGTTGGGTAAAAAGACCCACAGCTGTTGTTAGGGTTCCGTAGTCAAATGGCAAAAAACGAAACCCATATTTTACATTTTACCATGGGTGCCTCCATATTATTGATAGCTCGTTAGTTCTGTCACCTGTCGGCGGCGGTTTTTTTTTTTGGTGCTTGGTGGTTGTTTTGACTTTTGATAAAATTGAGGAGCCAAAATAACCTACGATCTTTCGTAGCGTTTTCTGTATTTATTATCTAAATTCTGCTTGTTTTTATCAATTATGAAAATAAATCGAGGAGCCCTAATAGTTGTCGAAGGGTTGGACAGAACTGGGAAGTCAACGCAGTGTAAAGCACTTGGTAACTAACGATACTTTTCTCTCTAGATCTTGTGCTATTTTAAATGTAAATAAATGCATACGAATGATGTTTACAGTTGAGAGATTGAAAAAACATGATATTCAAGCAGAGGCCACCAATTTTCCTGCACGTAATACAGAAATAGGTAAAGTGATTGATAGCTATTTGAAGTCACAGGTAAATAATATATAGAGTAATTTTACACGATTTTATAATTACATAAATTGCCTGCGTGCACGTTTTCTGGCTGACAAGTAGAAGAACATATTTTTCAGAAATATGATTGAGTTCTATTTTATTTACTTTAATTAATGTTGTTTTTTAACTTTTCAGAATAATCTATCAGATGAGACTATTCATCTGCTCTTTTCAGCAAATCGTTGGGAAAGGGCCAATGAAATAATGAAGACTTTAGAAAAGGGCATTAGTGTAATAGTAGATAGGTATTGCTACTCTGGGGTTGCTTTTACTGCTGCTAAAGGTATGGCAATTACTTTAAGTTTTTAAAATAATTTAACAGCACTCAGCAGTAGGTACAGATTATAAACTTTTGAGTAAATAGTGTTGTAATTAAAGTATTCCTTTTTTTAAAAACACTAATTCATTATGCTATCAAAGATAAAACTTATTTTGCAAGACTTATTACGATTTCAGGATTAAATATTGACTGGTGTAAAGCACCCGACGTTGGCCTGCCCAAGCCCGACAAAGTGTTCTTCCTAACAATGCCTTTAGAAAGTGTTCAGCAAAGGAAAGGATATGGAAATGAAAGGTCGGATTTTATTCTAATCAGTATAAAATTGTATCATAAAACTTGATTCTGAATAGCCTTTCATAGAAGTGTTTTGTTATTTGTAGGTATGAGGTTCTTGCTTTCCAGAAAAGAGTCGCAGAAATGTATCTTAAGTTGCAGGATGAGACTTGGGACATAATCGATGCAAACAGGTATGTAATAATACTGGTTAAACTTAACACTATTTTAGTCTATGCTCTTGACAGTTTTTAAATTATTTGTGTTCTTACTTGTGTGATATGCAAACCCATCCAAAAAAATTCTAATGTGAAATTTATTATGTGTAATGTTCAAACTATCTCAATCTTTTCAGGACAATGGAATGTATTGAAGAGGAATTATTGCAAAAAGCACTGAATGTTATAAACAAAATAGAGAATAAACCAGTGGGAAAAGTATGGTCACCATCTACTGAAGCATTTATACTAGAAAAATAAGAATAAAAGAGCCCCTTTACACTAGTTTCACAGTTAGCATAAATGTGCAGTGCACATTATGATGTAAATTGTACAAATTTGTTGTGAATGTCACACATGGAACGGAAGAAAGTTTGTTACTGATTAGATGACTGACTGACCACAAATGTTAAGGGGCTCCAAACTTTTATTTTGTAATTTTTAATAATCATGAATGATGCTAAGTATTACTAAAAGGATGAAATAAATATTTTAGTAGTATATTTGACTAACATTTATTTTTCTGAATATTTTGCAGCAAAATTTTTGCACCCTCTGAAGTCTGCTGCTTCAATATACTTGTGTGAGGTTTTAACTTCTTTAATATCTTACTGGATACACTTTCGTTGTTATTTTCAATCAGTTTCAAGAGAAAGAAGCATCCTCTGTTTGTTGGCAGCCATGCTTTCAACTGTAAAAGGACAAAAAGGTGATTGATTAATCAAGAGAATAGTGTTTATTTGATTGTGCCTCAATAGTGTCAACATATTTTGTGCTATTGATTGAATCCATAGTCTGGCATTAGTTGGAATACCTATAGCACGGTATAGTAAGTTATTGTGTCATGCAGCAACTCTATCTTACCGTTTCCTCCTGCAAGTTCTCACGTACGGCCTCGCTCAGGGTATGCTCTGTCTTGTCTTTGTCCAAACAAGCCAGTTTCTTCAGGCACATGTGTATTCCCGCATCCTCGACCGCCAGCACCGGTTTTCCATCGACAGTGATCTGCCAATCCGGCCGGCATATAACTTCGGCCAGGGCGTGCAACATTTCTTTTGTACTTTCTGCAAATAATTTCATAATTTTATCAAGACATTCTACAATGTTAAATATTCTGTTGATTGTAGGGTTGAACAGAAGAATGCTTAAAGCCATTTAGTAGTAGTAGTGGATGTAGTTGTAATAAATAGGGGGAGTTTTACAAAAGAAAAATGTGCTGTAGATAAGGATAGTAGACAGTAACTAAGATCACCTATTCTTTCTGTATTAGAATTTTTAGTTAAAAATTGTATAACTTAGTACTTTATCTTTACCTATAGACAAGACAGCCACAGTCAGCAGCATAATAGCCTTTCCACTCAGCCAGAACTCCGGGTCGGCCAGTATATCTGCCGTCACCGCGGGCAAGATGGCTTCCCGCAGTTCAGCCGTGCGAAGCTCCGCGTCCTTCTTCGAGGTGCCGCTTTTGGCGCCCTCGTTGAGAAACTGGATCAGTGTGGGGTGGAATGTGGCTGTGTCTTTTGGTTTCACTAGCCAATGTATTGTCTGAAAGGATATAATAATAATTAATATTGTTCATAACAGGTGAAGGATTATTCAATGTGTTACATAAAATTCAATTAACCACTACTTGTCTCCAGGACTTATAATAAATGTTATTCTGTTATGATAAACACTTACCATGATGCCCCAATGATCTTTAACAATATCTTTTAAGTTACTGGCCAGTGTGGACACTATAGCCTTCTTCACTAAAACTGTGTCATCAACCGAGTCAAAAATAGCCAACAGGAGTCTATATCCAGTCTTGTGTTTGCTGAGTGGCACTGCATGCTCCTTTACTACTTTTAGTATTGTCTGAAAATGAAGGAAAACTTACTTAGTACAATATTACTACAAATATCAAATGGACTTTGCAACGCAAGGGTGGTGTCGTGTCGTGTTCGGATCCGTTCACGGTACTTATGGTCATGGCCACACTTATATATCGTGGATTGTAAAATTATTGTTGTCTTTATTGTTATTATCGTATATTTTTTATCTCAGCTTTAGTGCTGGTAAGATTAATTGTTATTATTTTTTTAATTTTGTGTTGTTTTNATGTGCTATGCCCCCTTTCCTGCCCTCCTATTTGCGTGTTCCCGCCGACGGACAGGCACTTTACGGAGTGCTTCTCCTTCGGCGGTTGGGCGCAGCAACGTCAAGGGACCCGCTGAAAATCAGTGTCGAGGCATTCCCACGGCGTGCCCCGATTAATGCTGAGCGGGCCCCTATTTGACAGCAGGGCACAATGTTTTTCTTTTTGTAATTTGTGTAAATTTTAATGTGATGTCGCCCTTTTTGTCAAATAAAACATTTTATTATTATTATTATTATTATTATTTTCTTATTCAGAACCTTAGAGAAATTAGTACATAAATGTATATGACTTTATAGTACTATGGTCCATACTTTTTTATCTTTGTTGGTGCCCTGCCAAACACACATGCTAGCAGCATTGACACCAGGCAGTGAGTTGCTGAGTGGCACAATAAGTGGGCTGAGTGTTGACACAAATTCTGTTCTGTCCTCCGCGCTGCATTCACGAATGTAGTCATACAAAACTGAGTGCAGCAATCTGAAATGTTAAACATACATTTTTCAACCTGGTGATTTCTTTTACATGTATAATAATTGCCATAAGCAAAGATAACTACAAAATATTGTAAAGGAAAGTAACTTACTCGCTGTCATGTAGATTTTTATCCAAAATCTTTTGTATATTGGCTTTACAAGACTGCAGTATGGCTGGCCTCATTTCAGGACTGTCCTTGTAGGCATCTTTCAGGCACTGCACCTTAGGATCTTTTGTCTGAAACATTTTATTTTCATTTTCCAATATACAATGTAAACAACATTACAATCCATTTTGAGGCAATTTACTGCCATGTTAATTACTAATTTGCTTGTCTCATGGACTTCTCTGCATAGATGTCTGGAAGCGATTTCTTCATAGTGATAAAACTAAAATTTTGTATTATAAATTGATTGCACAGTAAAATTAGTGGATAGTCTGTAATGTAAAGTAGTAGTGTGAGTAAGATAGAAAATATTATCAACTTACGTTTTTATAAATATCACCATAGAACTCCTGCTGCATGTGTATTTTCTCTTTGTTGTTTGCAAATTCACCATAAGCATAGTCCAAAACTGGTGCACTAATGTTATGTGATGCCAACGACACAATATGCCCAATGAATCTTTTGATCACTTCATGGCGGATGGAGTCACTGCCATATTTCAGTATTCTCTTCACTGCATGGTGACCATATTTGGACTGGGCCATATTGACAACCAGGTCCAACAGTTCTGCAATGATTTCATTCTTAATTTCATCAGAAGCGTATTTGAGGAGCACTTGTATGACTCTGCTGAGATCGTGTGTCAGGGCAATGGACTTGTAATGGCTTTTCAGCAGGTTGTGCAATTCTTTGCAAGAACTCGCTCGAAACTCTGCTTTCACTACTTTCCTAAAACAAGAGTAAACCTTGCATAAAGATAACAGGCAAACTATTCAGTTAGTGATAGGTTTAAATTAAAATATAGGTGATCATTTGAATTCCAGAAAATATACAAAAAATCTTAAATTAGTTACCTTTGAATCTGTGCAGCAAGTAACTTAGCCTTGTGAGACACCTCAAACACCTCGGCCGTCGCCTTGGCTTTCCGGCGCGCAAGCCGTAACTGTTTCTTTTCTTTCTTCATTTCTGACCATATTGGTTTTTCATCCTTCCCACTTTCTTTTGAAAACTTGCCAGTAATTTTACCATCTTTATGAAAACCTTTACCTTTTACATTTCCATCTTTGAATTTCTTAAAATCTTTAGGGCCTTTTTTTAAATCCTTACCGCCCTTCTTAAAATTCTGGGGCTTTTTGTTGAATGGCTGTTTCTTATCCCCATTTTGTTTTTTGTCTTCTTGTTTTTCCGATTTTAATTTCGGTTTTTTGTTCGGAGCTACAGCATTAACTTCTTCACTTTTTCGTTTAACTTTCTGCATTTTGCTATCCTATAAATAAAGCAAAAAATACATTTTTTTACCAGTCTGTCGGTTGTGTTAGAGGTTATAAAAACTACACTTTTTGTAAAAGTGAGGTACTGGCTTAGATAAACCTTTAGTAAAATGTATAAATAATAATAACAGTACCTTTTTTATTCTTGTTTAAAAATATTTAAAACCACGTGTGAAAATAGCTCAGCCGATACCGAAATCGTGCGACAGAACAAAAATGATGAAATGTCAATGTCAATCCATGTGTCAATCAATCAATTGTCAGTTTTTTTTTTATTTTGTATGGCTCTGGGACTGATAAATCACAGCCGAGGCCAGAGAGTTGAGAACACAGATATGGATTAGAGTAGATACAGCAAGTTGATCGTCAAAGCGTGCCATTCCGATATGTCCAAATGGACATACATGGTCGAGTGATGTTCATGTAATCCGATTACAACAATCGATTACGATGATTTTACGAGAACAGTAGTACGAACACGGTAGAAAGAAGATATTATTTACGGATTGAGAATTGTAATTAACAGCACAAGTAGCAAATAATTAATTAGAATAAAGTAGCAGTAGAAGAAGTATAAAGTGGCATTGTTTTTAATACATATCCTGCGATGTACTCTTAAGAGTTAAAACCATGGTCCCTGTATGTGGTGCACTCATACCGATCCCAAGGAACCGTACTTACTCATAACAATAAGACACACACTGATCCATGTATTCATGCACTTGACAAATTTATGTCTTGAAACGCTGGTAGGGTAAAAAAAATAACGAGATTTGACGAATTGTAAGAATTACTTTATTTTAAAAAGGTAAATAAAGATGTTTTTGGTTTTGTATTTAACAAATTATCAGTTTTATCGGAATTAATTAATTTTCGAATCGAGTCACACGATATCTTTCGATGACTTTGCGAATGCAGTACGATGATACGATTACTTTTACGTTGCGGCAATCACTAAAATTCGCTAAAATGACACTAATGACGTTTAAAAAGTGGCACGCTCGGCTTCATACAATTTTTGACACATGCTGCATCTATCCATATCTGTGGTTGAGAAGGACAATATACACAAACTAAATTGAACGAATGGAAAAAATCTAAATAGAAACCATTTCTCTATTACAAATTACATGCTCAGCTTTTAAGATTCAGCACGATCAAGATCTCAAAATTTCACACAGGACGAAAGTTTGATTTGACCCCAGCCTCAGAGCCAGACAAGTGGCACTTTTTGATCGCTTTGAAAATCGAATTCCTTCACTTACGTTCACGTTTTGGGCGAAGGGCGAAGTAACTACAACAAAAAAAACTTTGAAACTATAGCCTGACCAGAGCCCCGATTACGGTAACTTTTAACGTTAACAATCCAGACACGCTTCTCGATTCTGCGATACAATTGGTCGTTCAACAGCGTACGTCAGCTGTTTTGACCAATCGTATCGCAGAATCGAGAAGCGTGTCTGGATTGTTGACGTTAAAAGTTACCGTAATCGGGGCTCTGGAACATACAAACCCTGGCATAGAGGCGCATTTGATAGTGCAACACTGAGTACAGTCGTACATGTGTTAAATTAATAGGCTAAATTTATGTATCAGGATTCAGGATTACGGGCTAATTTGATATTTTCATAAATTAACGAAAAATATTATTAAAGGTAACCTGGTTTAAATAAATTAAATGAAACCATCAATCGAGCTAGTAGGATTTATTTTATTATTCATCAATAATCAAATTCAGAACTTGAATATTCAACTGCAATGTCTGCTCATGAACCCTTCAAACTCGGTACTTCTTTCCCAATTCCATAAAATTCAAAACTTAGAAAGTGACAAAAAACATTAAAATAAGTAGTTGAAACAGACTACAGCTAATTTTCATAGTGGACTGTACTATACGATAAACATGTCAGTCAATTTGAAAACCTTTGTCGGAAACATTATTCAATGAAAATATTGTCCGAACCCTTAGTATTTCTCTTCGACAAATACATTAACACATCGTGAACCACTTTTCTTTCACGACTATAAAAATATTTTAGCAATTTAATTCACATAATCAATTGCAAACATTTAAAATAAAGTTTGTTTACACTTTGACAACAATAGACTGACATGCAAGGTGACATGTCAATGAAGTTTTCAGTTATAGTTCCAAAATACTGTGGGTCTAGACAAAGTGCAAATTATAATCACAAACCAGTCGAAAAGTGGTCGAAAGGCCCCTTTTTTGTATGGAGTTTTGACGGATTCGATTTTCGATTCGATCAAAAAGTGCGTTTTGTCTAGGGGGGCTGGACTGTCCTGTCGATGACATTGACAGTGGGGCGCCACCGTCAATACCGGATCGCTGGTCATCTATATAGATGACCCACGCTGAACTGTCCCACCAAACTCAATGACAGAGGGGCGCTACCATCGTTCAACTATATGGTTTTGAACATGGCAAAAATCGGAACCAGCGATCCGGTATGGACGGTGGCGCCCCACTGTCAATGTCATGCATAGGACAGTTCAGTATTTGGGAACTATACTGTTGCCATTAAAAGAAATTAGTTTAGTTTTCCGCAACATGGCGAGGGTTTTTATGTTCCTGGTCAGGCTATAACAAAAAAAACGTCGGAGCGAAGATATTTCGAAATTACAACTGTCACGTTTTGTTTGCGTCTTTGTCTACGGGGCTTGCTTTTACTCTTTATATTATCAAGGACTGGGAATGATGAACCCCAAAAAAAAAGTAAAAATTCAAACAAATTTTTTTTTATCGATGTTTCGTCGCTTGTTCGCTTGTGTTCTAAATTTTTATTCAAAGGATTTTGTAAATAAAAACATCGTCAGGCGACATTTCATTCAACAATTTAGTTGAAATAATGTAGATAAGTTTAAATATTTGGTAGAAATGGTGGATATAAATAAGTATCTTGAAAATCAACTTGCTTTGGCTAAGAAACATACTATACACAAGGTCGGCAGATCTAATGATGTTTCAGAAATAAGTAGAACTGCCGCTGAAAAAATATCTAGAAAGGAGGACAAACAATTATTTAAGAAAAACCGCAAAATTAATAAAGAATCTTCAATACAAGTATGCACAGAAGTTGAACAACCAAGTACTTCAAAAAATAAGAATGAAGACGACGAGAGCGATTACCTTCCGTCGTGTGATGAAGATGATGATGAGGCAACTGTACCAAGTCTGCCATCTACATCGCGACCCAAGAAGAATTTAAAGAAAATCGTAGATGACGGTGACCGAAATTCGTACGACAACAGGATAAAAGAATGGAGGGAAAACTTAGAGGCAGCACGCACCGGTAATCTAGTAAATGAGTCTCATTCTGCTGACATTCAATATTTGCTAGATGGAAATAAAGACGTTGAGAAGTTTCAACATCTGGACCAAGGTTTGCGCATTCCTATATTTGTTTGGAAGCAACTTTATAAGTACCAAAGGACAGGAGTGAAATGGTTGTGGGAATTGCATCAAGTGCAATCTGGAGGATTGTTGGGTGATGAAATGGGTTTAGGCAAAACTGTTCAAATAATTGCATTTTTAGCAGGATTATCAAACACTGATTCTGGGATTTGGGGTGGACTTGGCCCATCTATTATTGTAGCCCCGTGTACTGTCATTTACCAGTGGGTTTCACATTTCCACTACTGGTGTCCATATCTTCGAATAGCAGTTCTGCACAACTCTGGATCTCATTCAGGGAACCATAATAAACTCATTCGTGATATTCATCACTCCCATGGAATTTTATTAATAACTTATGCTGGAGTTGTTAAATATTCAAAAGATCTGCTAGGTCATAAATGGCATTATATTATTTTAGATGAGGGCCACAAAATAAGAAATCCTGACACTCAAGTCAGTAAACATGTTAAGAAATTTGATACTCCACATAAACTGTTGATAACAGGTTCTCCCATGCAGAACAGCTTACAAGAATTATGGTCATTGTTTGATTTTATGAGCCCTGGGCTACTTGGGACTCACCATGCATTTATGGAATATTTTGCAAATCCTATAACCCAGGGAGGTTATGCAAATGCTACAGAGCTTCAGGAAGCAACAGCTTTGGAAATAGCAATTGCACTGAAAAAATTAATCACCCCTTATATGCTCCGAAGAACAAAAGCAGAGGTTCAAGAGCACATAAAGTTGCCTGAGAAAAATGAACAAGTCTTGTTTTGTGCCCTTTCAGAAGAACAAAGAGATTTGTATATGGGGTATCTTATGGGAAGTACTGTCAGAAGTATTTTGGATAAAGAGAGCAGATATGGGGATCCTATTCGTGCCAGAGTGTTAGTAGCTCTGTCTACTTTAAGGAAAATATGTAATCATCCAGATTTGTATCTTTATGAAATAGAAGAAGACCAAGCAGTTTTGAATGATTCATTTGGTCATTGGAAGAGATCAGGGAAAATGACAGTTGTGAATTCTCTGTTGAAGATATGGCAAAAACAGGGTCACAGAACACTTATTTTCTCTCAATCCAGAGCAATGATATGTATTTTAGAGCAATTTTTACAAAACCATAACTATAAGTATCTCAAAATGGATGGCACTGTGATAGTTAGCCAGAGACAAAATTTGATTAAAACATTCAATGAAAATCCAGAATATTTAGTGTTTCTGTCAACTACAAGAGTTGGAGGTCTTGGAGTTAATTTAACTGGTGCTGACAGAGTGATAATATATGACCCAGATTGGAACCCAGCCACTGATAATCAAGCAAAAGAGAGAGCTTGGAGAATTGGGCAGGAGAAGAATGTCACTGTTTACAGATTACTTTCTGCTGGAACAATTGAAGAAAAAATATATCAGAGGCAAATTTTTAAACATTTTCTGAGTAACAGAATACTTGTAGATCCTAACCAGAAAAATGTTTTGACAACAAGTACATTGCAGGGTTTGTTCACCTTAGATGAACCTAATCACGATGGTGACACTGAAACTGCATCATTATTTAAACACACTAAGGTAAATATGGACAACAATCACAAAAAAGATAACAGTGGAGGAATTTCCAATTCAAAAAAGAAAATTGAAGCAATGAAAAGAATGGCTAAAGAAATAAGTAAAAGAATATCAAAGAATGTACAAACACCTAGTACTTCAGTGGCAGAGGTAGATCCAAGAGAAAGGTATAAGAGAAAAAGGGAACTTTTGTTGAATCCCCCAAAGGCTCCTCCAGAGCTAGAAATAAATCTGATGGATGATAAAATAACCACAGAAACATTTGACAATGTTATGTCTGAATTGGATATAATAAATATGCATGCAAAAGAAAATTATGAAGAAAATCTTATACAAGAAGTGCTTAGCAAACAAAATAAAGATAATGAAAAAGATGATAATAATAGTTCTACAGAAATCTGCAATGAAAGCAAAGAAGAAGGTGAGATAAATAGTGATAGTGAATCTAGAAGTAATAAAAACAATTTAGTAGGTGACAGTGGTAGTAGTGATAAAATTTCAGATATAAATCATGGTAAGCAGTTAGAGGGCTTACCAGATCAAGCTGAAGCTTCATATGATGATAGTCTAAAAAAGACTAAAAATCATCATGGTAAAAATAGAGATAAGAAACGAAAAAGGAAAGATTCTTCTGTATCTGAAACAGAGATAGACAGTTTGCTAGCTGTAAAAAAAGTTAAGAGGAAAAAACACAAACATAATAAGGAAGAGAAATCAAAAAATGATGACGATTATGTATTAAATAAACTTTTCGCAAAAGCGTCTGTAAAGAGTGCATTGCAACATGATGCTGTGGTTGGTCTAGCCGAAAAAGAAAAGAGGCTCAGATTAAAAGAAGAAGCATCGAAAGTTGCTAAAACTGCTGTAAGAGCCATTAAATTTTCATCCTCAAATAAGCTGAAGAAAACTGTTCAAGTTCTTTAGAAATGTTGAATTTTAATATTTTTTGTAAGACTAATAAAAAAAGTGTTTATATTTTTGTTTTTTCATTTGTCTCTTTTTCACTTAAGCGCTAAGAGGTCAATAATCTCTTCTTCGGAGGTTCTTATAAGTAATTGAAGTACTTAATACATACATGGATCCCAGATTCGATTCCTGGTTGAGACTATTACGTGCTCTGTGGGCTGTGGGTTGAGTGAAATAACTTTTGGGAGTGCTAGAAAGTGATATTGGTTGTTAATTATGGATTTTTTAAAGCGATGATTTTAATTTAGATGGGGGAAATAGGATATAGGAATACCGTAAAAAAAATATAAATTAATTTTCTAAGAAAAAAATAGAAAGTGCTTAGAATTATTGAACCATGCATGGTAGAAATTTTAATTTTAATGTTATTTTTTTTTTAGTACAACGTTAACCGTAGTAGAATTACAAGCGATTAATGGTAACATTGTCCAACCAACTGTCAAAATTGAAGCTACCTTCTTTGGGTTATCAAGTTCACTTTCAATCAAGAAGTAAATGTAAATTATCTAATAGTACAAGCTTCCTCAGACGAGAAATAGGCAATGAGAAATTTTACGGCAGTCATTATGTGCAAATAAAATCCATAAAGTAGCGTCTCCCAACGGCAGCAAAGCACGGGTGTATCGACGTAGGAAGTTGGCTTTAGGTATTATTTGTAATAACTGCTGATAATTCGGTGCCATCAGTATGTCTGGACGAAGAAAGCCTCCACCACCAGGATTTAACTTCCCACCCGTACCAGCGCCAGTGACTGTGTATGTATCAAGGTCTTATGTCAAATGTGGTAAATCTTCACATTCAGCACATAATTTTCTTTCCTATTTTTCACTTCTCATTACTGTAATATGTATTTTAAATTAGTACCACCTTGGCTAAGTGTTTTTAATTTTAGTAAAGTAACCTCTATAGCAATTTTACATGCACCAAACACTATTCCGACATGATTGTTAATACAAATGCAATGTACTAATTTCCAGGACTCCACCAAGAAATCTCGACAAACAGACCACTATAACGGTAGATGACAAGACCTTTACAGTGCACGCTGATGACCTGGTGAAGATATGTGACCTTGGCCGTGGGGCTTATGGTATTGTGGAAAAGATGCACCACAAACCTAGTGACACAATAATGGCAGTCAAGGTAATATGATAAATATAGATATTAATTTTATTGTATAAAAAATGGAATTGTGTTAGTGTGGTAATGTAACATGATTTACTTTCATCTTGGTTTTGGTTATTTATCTATAACTGTATCTATTGTTTCAGCGCATAACAGCTACATTCAACAACCAGTCCCTGGAGCTGAAGCGTCTACTGATGGACCTAGATGTCTCGATGAGAGCCAGTGCATGCCCATATACAGTACATTTCTATGGAGCCATGTTCAGAGAGGGTGATGTGTGGATTTGTATGGAAGTCATGGACATGAGCCTTGATAAATTCTACACCAAGATCTATAAAAACAATAGAACCATACCAGAAAATATTCTTGGGAAAATATCTTTTTCAGTAGTCAGTGCCTTGCACTACCTGCACTCCCAACTCAAAGTGATCCATAGAGATGTGAAGCCTTCCAATATTTTGATCAACAGAAAAGGTGAAGTTAAGATGTGTGACTTTGGTATTTCTGGCTATCTTGTAGACTCAGTTGCTAAAACCATTGATGCGGGTTGCAAACCTTACATGGCTCCTGAGAGAATTGATCCGTCTGGTAATCCAGGGCAGTATGACATTCGCAGTGACGTTTGGTCACTTGGCATATCTATGATAGAGTTGGCGACAGGTCAGTTTCCATACAGCAATTGGGGGACTCCCTTTGAGCAATTAAAGCAAGTGGTCAAAGATGATCCACCAAGGCTACCGAGTGGCCAGTTCTCGCCAGAGTTTGAAGACATGATTGTGAAATGTCTGCAGAAAGATTACAAGAAGAGGCCAAACTATGATGCACTACTGGCCCATCAGTTTTGTCAAGAGCATAGTCAAAAGGAGACTGATGTAGCTTCCTTTGTTCAAGAAATACTAGACTTACCTGATGACTCCTAGTGATAGGAATATGTATTTTACTTTAAGTACCTTTAAGTACAAGTGTTTAGTGATTACTAACAATAATCTAGATTGTTACTGGAGAATTATGTGAGATAATTGTTATTAACAAATTAATTTATGTATGTTTAACTGACAGGTCCAGCCAAATGTAAGTTCAGAAGTCAGACTGGCAGAAAAAAACATTATTTTCATGTCACATAAATCAAAACTTAATTTGTGATACATGTTTAAAATTCAAGTAGAACTATTCAATGTAAATGAGTAGTCACTAGGTGGTATAGTAGTTCATTAAATTAAGTTTGATTGTATAATCAATTGTATAAAACGGAGTACGCCTTTTATGTCTATGTACATAGGTACATATGCCTTTATTAATTTTAATGATAAAATAATTGGCAATATAGAGTATTTTTAAATGACTGCTATGTCTTATACATCACAAATTGATAACTCGTAATAAAAATATTTGTTTTCAAATAGTATTTAATTAATACCTTATTTTGATAACAGGCATAGCGCTTAACTGAGTAGTTTCCTGTGGTAGTATAGCAGAGCATATTGTTACGTTGAATCGCGAAGTTTGTTTTGACAGCGCAGTTACGTTACGTCACACTGCTCCCGCATTCTCCACTGTCGCTCCGCCCGCAGGAACATACTCAGTTATGAACTATGCCTGTTGAAAAAATAAAACACAATATCTTAATAACATCTCTTGAAATATTCATGTTTATCATAAAAACAGACGTTATAAATAAAGTAAGTACAAAATAGTGTTAGGTACATCATAAGTACATTGTCATTTTTCTCTTATAAATAAATCTCGACCGCACCTCTGGCTTCGTTCAGTAAACACGGTAAAAAATATTCAAAAATTCTACTAAAGCGTAATTGACTAGAGGTAATTGTTTTCATCAAAACGGAGAGTTCATTCCCAGTTTTGTCCCGAAGTCTAAGCGGGCTCGTCGCTGGTTGCGGATGTCAGCTCTGTAAATAAAAAGTAAAATTAAATGCCATAATCTAATACTGTACCATCTGCCTATCTAAGTACAAGCGAATCTTGTAGTCAGAGTGTACAAGCAAAACCGCCATTTCATGAGAGCGAGAGAAAAGGCCTCCCCTGCCTCCCCCTCATATGCTCATGATACAGTCAGGAATAGATTAAAAAGGTAAAAAACTGAGTGCTACTGCTATTGTTGAGCACTCACTTCTTGTCGTGTCGATAACAAACCTACACAGTGTCAGCCCAAAACTCCGTATAAGGCTAAGAACTCACGGCGCGATTTCCACCCGCGCCCGCAGTTTCTGTAGAATGCAGATACTTATGTAAAAACTAATGCACAGATTGCGCCCGCGCGCTCTGCGATCGATCGGCGGGCGACCATTTTGTACCAGTGACTTGATTGGCGCGCATATCACCCGCGTCCGCGGTGGTTGCGGGGCGGCAGCCCCTACTGAGTTCCAGGGATGTTATGGATATCTGTAACCGTAACCGAAACTTTCGGATATCCGAAATAATAAAATATCCGAAACCGTAAACGATTCATAAGTTTCGGATAGTTTCGGATGTAGGCAGTTTAAATTGTTTTTTGTATAGTATTATAGGTAAAGGCATAACAGCCTAATTTACCTTTATAATGCCATCTAGTATCAATTTTTATTACTTTTTATTCGATGTAAGTGTGTAGTGTGCGGCCATGAATGAATCGTGTTGGACAACTATTGCAAATTGCATTCTAGAGCACAGATATCCGTAACCGTAACCGAAACTTTCGGATATCCGAAATAAAAAAAATATTCGTAACCGTAACCGAAACCGGTATAATATTATTCCTATATCCGTAACCGTATCCATAACTGAAACTACATAATATCCATAACATCCCTATTGAGTTCTTAGCCTATGAGTGGCGTTGTCAGTTTCAATATTTGTTTCCATGTAAAATATGTGACCGTCCATTCTGGTCACAATAGACATGTTAACACCACCAATCAATTGACGTACTTTTTAAAACTGTCAAAACGAAACTCTCCCATAGTTTTTGTATGGCACTACAACAAGCAAGTGACGTCACTATTTTGTCAACTCAATTAAACTACTTTTTTCAATTACAATGCGACCAAAAATCGTAATTTACAGGTAATTTAAAAATAATTAAGTTTTTAAGACCAGAATGAAGTGTCTTTTTAGAAAAGTTGTGATTTCGAATTATTGGAGAATGGTGTCAAATTGTCCATTAAATCTTCCTGCGTGCAGTCTGGGCACGGCACTCACTTGATCTCCTGCCACTTGATCAGTTCGTTGACCGCGAACACGGCGAGCGGTGAAGCGGCGCACGCGAGCGCCAGCGGCCAGCGCGCGGCCAGCCGCAGCGAGCACAGCCCCCAGCGCGCGCACAGCCCGTACTATACCTTCGCGAAGTAAAACTTCTGTACGTAGTACTTATTATTATTGTGTGACGCCACTCACTTGATCTCCTGCCACTTGATGAGTTCGTTGACCGCGAACACGGCGAGCGGCGAGCCGGCGCACGCGAGCGCCAGCGGCCAGCGCGCGGCCAGCCGCAGCGAGCACAGCCCGTACTGTACCTTCGCGAAGTAAAACTTCTGTACGTAGTACTTATTATTATTCTGTGACGACACTCACTTGATCTCCTGCCACTTGATGAGTTCGTTGACCGCGAACACGGCGAGCGGCGAGGCGGCGCACGCGAGCGCCAGCGGCCAGCGCGCGGCCAGCCGCAGCGAGCACAGCCCGTACTATACCTTCGCGAAGTAAAACTTCTGTACGTAGTACTTATAATTATTTTATTATTGTGTGACGACACTCACTTGATCTCCTGCCACTTGATCAGTTCGTTGACCGCGAACACGGCGAGCGGCGAGGCGGCGCACGCGAGCGCCAGCGGCCAGCGCGCGGCCAGCCGCAGCGAGCACAGCCCCCAGCGCGCGCACAGCCCGTACTATACCTTCGCGAAGTAAAACTTCTGTACGTAGTACTTATTATTATTGTGTGACGACACTCACTTGATCTCCTGCCACTTGATCAGTTCGTTGAGCGCGAACACGGCGAGCGGCGAGGCGGCGCACGCGAGCGCCAGCGGCCAGCGCGCGGCCAGCCGCAGCGAGCACAGCCCCCAGCGCGCGCACAGCCCGTACTGGCTGCTCAGCATCACCCAGCTGAACACGCATTGCATTAATACTCTGCGGAGGAAAAACGACGGGTGAATAAGGTACTATAGATGACCTAAACTGAACTGTCCTACGAAACTCATTGACAAAGGGACGCCACCATCGTTCAACTTTATAGTTTCCAACATGGCAAAAATCGGAACCAGCTCCGCTATTGACGGTGGCGCCCCGCTGTCAATGTCACAGATAGGACAGTTCAGTATATTAGGTCTATACTAGCAATGGTCCTGTCTACCTAAAGATATTCTAAAAGGTCACATCTAATTTAGACCGCTTTATTTTATTTATGTAGTGGGTGTTTAAGGCCCAATATCCACCAAAGCGGAGCGGAACAGAAAAGTGTGTTGAATAACCAATCAGATTTCATTAATTAATTCCACTTCTCGTCTTGTCAAATTCTATAGAAAAAACAAGTGACAGCCCGACACTTCTCCGCTCCGCCTTGGTGTAAACCGGGCCTAAAGTACACTGTCTAAAAAGTTGGATAGATACTTACAATAGGACTACACTAGCCGACCAAACTCGGTTCGACCAGAAACATTTCTGCCATATGGAAGATTGTCTATGCACGAACGACAATGATATCACAACTGCGAACAAAACAATCATTTTAGTACAGAGCATTTTCACGTCAGACGCGAGATTACAGTATCTGTGGGCTTAGTGTGAGTTTACATCAAATGTCTTCACTAGTGACTGCGTAAAAAAATTACATTAAAAGTAGATTGCACCATCTTACTTTACTTAACTCTGACAAAATCAAAAAGTTGACAAACTCCATACAAAAAGCACCGGTTATCGTCATAGTTACCGTTAAAGTTAGGTGGTGCAACTCAGCCTAAATGTATGACGGGTTGTACAGCGACCCGAGCGGATACTTTCAAGAACTAAAATCTTCATAATTTTTTTTGACGCGCTCACTATGGAGGTCGTTTGATGTAGTAAACTTACACTAATGCCCGTTTTCATCATCAATCCCTAATTTTTAAGTGACCCCTATAGTAATACATAACTGGCATTTTGTTCTCATCGGGGTCACTTAACAACAACAATGTTAACAGCATTGTTGTGTTCCGGCAGTTAGATGTAAGATAGCCGGTTCCTCCGTGGTTGAGGATTCCGAGTGAAGCTCGCTTCCACCTTCGGCCTGATCATCACTTACCATCAGGCCAAGAGCTTCCACGTTGTCGATAAAAAAAAACTTAAAAATTAGGGATTCATGGTGAAAACGGGCTTAAGCCTATTGTTTCGCTCACTCACTTAAATGCACAGTAATAAGCGCGAGCGTGATATGCTGCGCCAGATACAGTCCGTCATAGAAGTCGTCGCCCCAGCCGTGCCAGCTGCGCCGCGTCAGGTCTCGCTCGGGGGCGAAGGCGCCTGCCAGCAGTCCGTCGCGTTGGTAGACGACGTTTAATGTAAACTCACACTAATGCCCGTTTTCACCATCAATCCTTAATTTTTAAGTGACCCCTATGGTAATACATAACAGGCATTAAAATTTTGTTTTCATAGGGGTCACTTAAAAATTAGGGATTGATGGTGAAAACGGGCTTAAGCCTATTGTTTCGCTCACTCACTTAAATGCACAGTAATAAGCGCGAGCGTGATATGCTGCGCCAAATACAGTCCGTCATAGAAGTCGTCGCCCCAGCCGTGCCAGCTGCGCCGCGTCAAGTCTCGCTCGGGGGCGAAGGCGCCCGTATTGACGGGGTACACCAGCCAGCAGCCCGTCGCGTTGGTGGCGACCGAGATTTGCTCGCAAAATTCCCGCAGAGTGTACCCGTAGAGAACGAGGATCGAGATAGCAGCGGGGAGGAACTTGCAGGCGTAGCACCAGAATATGAATAGCGCCATCTGGGGGATAGTAATAAGAGTTAAAAATACAAAAAAATCATAATTATCCATAATAATGTGTCAGGGTGCGTAATATGTGTCAGCGCATACACATGTTTACTTGTCCTTGTTTCCTAATTCCTAAACGTGTCAACATAATTGCGTTAAACCCTGAGTTGGTTCCCGCTCGGCCTAGTTCAGACACGCGCGTTAACTGGGCGATTTTTAGGGTTCCGTAGCCAAATGGCAAAAAACGGAACCCTTATATTGTTGGTTCTCATTGGCGAGGTACTGAGACGGTAACCGTGCGGTTTCGGTTTGATGCAAATGTACGAGAACTGTCCAGCAACCACGCG